TTAAAGTTTTTTTTTTTTTTACAACATTACAAGGTCACTGACCCATAAACTGCATGAACCCATGCTATTATAAGCTCTTTCAAGACTAAACAATGACAAACTAAATTGTCTTTAAGAAAACACAAGATCATCTGTCGGACCACCAACCAAACCCACCCAGGGCACATGACATTTCCATGACATTTGCTATGGTGTGGACAGTTGGTGTATGTTTGGGTGACACTAGCAAAGGTCAACCAAACAATCAGATGGACACAGCTATTCACATAATGTTGAGATCAGTTCTGTGGAACAGAAATTATTAAAGGAGGACAAGAACAATACGTTCAACCTAAAAGCCACAAGGGTTGGGAGGGACTGAAAAAATACAAAAAGAAAACATGCCCCATGGAAATGACTGAATGACTCTTTATTTGAGTCCTAAAAAATGGAGACACAGGTCCCGTAGAGGACTTCCAAGTAGCACAGAAGTCTATTGCTATAAATAGTGACTAAGTCAAAGACCTGGTCCCAGAGAGGGAAAAATTGGTAACAGACGAGGACAGCTCAAACTGGGACATTGCAGGGCCAAACAGTGACAGGTCTTCGTCTAGGTTAAAAAAAGCTTGAATCCGAGTTTACTAGGGTGTAGAAGTGAAACAAAGGACTGAGCATTAAATTCAATCCATGGATTTGTATATTGATTATCCACGTTGCATGTTGTCTCACTGGGACTTTTCAATTTTTGCTTTATTTAATGGATGTCTCTCTTTGTTTGAATGCGGCCTCACCTCAGTCAGCTTCCCTAAAGCTGAGAGCTTTGCACAAGGGAAAATGCATCCAGAACAAACAACGTGCAGAGTGAATTTTCAATCAACAGAGAGGGTAATTTAGTAGCCTTGCTTAGCCAGTTCATGTAAGGTCAGAGGGGTTTATTGCTTGAGATGCTAATCTATTTTGCTCAGGTGAGAAAACAGTGATTTGCCATTGGTTGTTGGTTTATTATTTTAGCAGCTGTTGGAATTTATACAAGATGTATTAGCATACACAGGCAGGTCTGGTAACCAAAGTAATGAGGTGGTTAGAAATCTCTTGACCTCATGCTAATTATAGGCTATCTCTTGACCTCATGCTAATAATACACTTGCACCTACATAAACAATGGTCTGCATTGACATGTCTATGAGAAACCAGTTATTTAAATGAATTCAAATATCTTTATAGGCCTATATTATTTGTATGGAAAACAATCAAATTAAGTTGTGACGTGTGTGCCCACCATTTTGACTTGTAGTGTATGACTGTGGAACGTTTGTTATTATTCTGGAAATACAAACCCATGTTTATCATGCAAATAAATTATTGTCTTGGAGAGAATTAAAGAGCTCGTTTCAACGCAGGACACCGAAAAATCTTTCCCCATAAAACCGGAGAGTGCATTTCTCATAGTATGCATTCGGAATAGCATTCCCTTAGCTGCATGCGAAATCGCAAACTACTAAATAGTGGCAAGTGAAAAGAAGTAGTAGCCTATATATGTCCAAATTCAAAGAACTCATTAAAGATTATGCAAAAATTACCCAGATGACCTACCACTTCCTGCGAGCGAGATTCTGAAGTGTGCATATGATAGACATTTGCCTTCCATGAGGGCACGAATCGATAAAGGATTACCAACATGTCAAATGTTATTATTTTTATTTATTTAATTATTTTTTGCTGTCGTGAAGTAATGACTTTTTTAAAATAATTACCTACTCAAGAGAGTTTGTGAGTTCGGACCGACGATTTCATGTCCACGACAACCACCTGGTGGAAAAACATTTTACAAACGCGTTTTGTCTAGCAATTTTGGACCTTGTTGCCTGCCGTACTGAAAGCGTCCATAGCAGCCAGAGATCTGTTGACAACGGGAATCCATTAATTTACAGCTAACCTTATATTTCAATGCAGCGAGGATAGTTTGGTGTGATTTAAATGTTTTCCAGGGTGTTAATGGTGTAAAAATGACCTCAAACAATCCAGCTGTTTTTCTTCTCATGATCAACGGGCAAATCGAAGCAGCTGATGTGAGTTAACAGTGATTTAAGTTAGAGGCCGAGTTTGATGCGGTAATAACTGTGTAAGAAGCCTATCGTTAACGTGGGTTAATTTGATTAATTACATCATGTCGTGTTTTGTCAAAAGTTCCCAGAATATGAAGACCTCTACTGCAAGTATTGTTTTGTTTATGGACACGACTGGGCGCCCACATCAGTGAGTGACATCATCCTGCTTTAACTTACTTCCTTCTTACATTAACTGAAATCAGGGCTATAACATTTATATAACACGTAATTTATTCATACTTTAATGTGTTGCTTGAATAATGACAATGATACGTCATATATTACTAAATAATAATCATCTTTATAAAGTAGTGATTGTTTCACGGTTTTAGTCCCCACTACTCTTTCTTTAGTGACGTGATATTTAAGCTTTTCTATTATTCTCATATACAACAGTAAGATTGTCTTTTCCCAGGGCTTGGAAGAGGGCATTTCTCAAATAACATCAAAAGGTAGAGGATCTCAGAGTTTGGTGTGGAATTTCCCATTAGACATCACATTCAAAAGCACGAACCCATTTGGCTGTAAGTGCACCTTGTTTTGGTTGAGTCAGAATTATGTGCTTGTATTGTATAGAGGAATATTAGTCTTAATATCACAAAATCTGCTATGTTTATGTTATATATTGTAATGTAGCTTTATAGTGATCACTATATGCTTTGACATATCAGGTTAGCTCTGTTCACATTTTCTTTTTCTCTAGGGCCCCAGATTGTAGTGAGTGTATATGGCCCTGACGCTTTCGGAAATGATATTGTGAGAGGTTATGGAGCCGTGCACATCCCGTTTACACCTGGAAAGTGAGTCATTCTGAGATTGTGGAGTCATAATGTCTCAAAAGCAGCCAGCATGCTTGAGATGTGTCTGAAATGTACAATTACACGTGAATGCTCTCTGTTCCAGACACACCAAGACCATTCCTATGTTTGTTCCGGAGTCTACGTCTAGACTGCAGAAGTTCACAAGGTTATAACTCAATTGGTTATAACTCAATTCTCACATATTCTTAATTATTTACTGTTCAGTGTTTTTCACACATTTAAATGCAGACATATGGCACAAACTTTAAAATTGGCCAATTAATTGTGCACCAGCTTGTGATCTGAATTTGATTTCTTGTTGCCATTCCCTTTTTTCCTTAAGAATTGATATGAACTCAAGTTGTTTTAGTTAAATGTGCAATTTGAAGAACAGTTTCAAATGTACAAGTACATTGTAACTTAAAAACATTGATTTGCATGAATGGCCTTGTATCTAACATGTTTTATCTTATACTCAGCTGGCTGATGGGAAGGCGTCCAGAATTCACAGATCCCAAGGTTGTTGCTCAAGGAGAGGGAAGAGAAGGTAAACTTTCATTTAACAGTAGATGCTGCAGTAGATGCTGACCATCTCTGATCATATTGAGTCTTCAAAAATTGTTTTGCTGCAAACAAGTGTAATTATGAGCCATAACTGATGCCGATTTATCTATTTGCAGTCACAAGGGTGCGCTCACAAGGTTGTGTTACGCTACAGTTCAACATTGTGACTAAGGACATGAAGAAGCTGGGTTATGACACGACATCAATAGAGCATTCACCTACAAGAACACCGCAACTGCTTTGATAACCTTAAGGATCTTTTTTGTATCTTAGTTGCTTTATTCAGATAGTTTTTGTAGCTTCTTTATAACTACACGTCATATTGTTTAATCAGCGTTGTATGTTTGTAAATAAATTGATCTTGTTTTCTTGGTCTAAAAGAGTCAACCATTTCTGACTGAAATAACTCGGCCTGTCCCCGAGTTTCATTCCAATCTGCAGATTTCATCTTAGAGACGGGCAATATTGCATTCAAATATTCAGGCTCATAAAAAATTAATACTTGTTTATTTAAATTACATTTAACAACCTTTTTTTTTTTAAGTCAAATATGATTAACCTCTGCTCGGGTCTATTGACCCTTTTAACATTTCTGTGTTTCTCAGAAGCGAAACTTCGAACTCGTCATAGTTGGGTAAACTTCTATAACAGTGAATGAGAGAAAACACTTTAAACAAATGTGTGTGTGTGTACCAGTTCGCTCAAATAGCAAGAGAAAAACCCCACAATAGTGTCTTCACAACTTTCAAAGAGGAAAAAATTAGAGATCGATTGATGACGGCAGTCAGTAGATAAAACAATGTACATTTGTCACCCTCACAGCAAAGTAAACTAGTTTCTTATCATTTGATACAAAGGTAATATGATAAACACTACAGTGTATGTTATAAATGTACAGGATTTACATTGTGTTTGACCGGTAAAACACGTCACAATCTCTGAAATGGATCCATTATACTTAATCCTGAACATCATAACCTCAACTTTTGTTTGCAACAATCCGTTCTTTACGATTCTCGTTCGTTAACATTATCAGAGTCTGAATCTGATTCAAATTGGTTTGAAATTGACACCATCCTAATTCAACTTTACACTAGAGAATAACACGAAGTTATGAATGGGCGGGGCCAGCCAACCACACGGGGCCAGTAACCAATAACACCTCACGATTCCTATTTCGGAAGGAGGGACTTAATCGAAACGATGCGTTCAACCAGATTGGAGAGGAGCTGTAATGTAAAAACGTGAAAAACAATGTGTTTTTTTTTTAACAAGCAAGCATGAAAACATTCTAGTTCAAAAACAAAATACTTCAAAACGGCATAATATGACCCCTTTACATTTAGCACTTTTGTTACTTAAAAAACTAACAATTTAAAACAAACATTAAAATAAACTTATTTTATTTTAGTTAGTCCTCATTTTTATATTGCTAACTTGATGTACTAAAATAAATAAAACTGAAAAACTATTAAATAAGAGATATACTAGTTAAAAAAAAATGCTAATGTTTAAAAAATAAAGTTTACCAACAGCATGAAGAGACGGATCAAAAGTCATTGATACAATTTATTTGTTTTACCACTGCAGCTACAGGTCCTTTATCACTTGCTGTGGTTTAGATGGCAATAAAACAATCACTCTTCCTCTGACTTTCCTACAAAACCATTACACAGAAATAAGGTACACAACAATATGTTACAATAGAACAGATGATAAATTATATTATACAGTTATAATGCCAACAAGTTGAGCACATATCCATAAAAAGCAGCCTGCTCCCAGTAATATGAGACAGTTTGGTAAATACACAAGACACAACGACATGGAAAAGTAAAATGTTATGCATGTCCACAAGGTTAGTCCTCCACAATAAATGCATATTGAGTACATAACAGAAGAACGAGTGATACACGATGGCCGAGATTAAATGAGGAAGATGTCGTATAAGGATTCAAAAGTCAAACTAGTCTGCATAATTGAATACAGTGATGTTCACTAGCAGGGAGACTTGTTTAGCACTATTAGAGCCTGCTTAAACCATCATGTCCATCAAAAGCGCATTACATACATCTTAAAGCTCTCTTAGCCACAACCACCCCCTAAAATGCCCGAGTATGCCAGCAGATTACTTACCACAACACACCCAGGCTCTGCTACAAGGCTGCACTTAGCCAGTACTACCACAATATTTCCAGCAGAGGTCGCTAGCTCACAGATGAGAGAAACCGTAGAGTCCATACTCTAGTAATCAAGAAAACAAAAGCAGTAATATTGATGATAATAATATGGGAACAATTGAAGATAGATAAGTGTAGTCAGTTCAGCTCTGCATTTAAAAAAAGACAAGCAATGTCACTTTGGTAACTACTATTCGGTGGCAGATGTTGCCATCTTGTGCTTAACTGGTAGAATTAAAAAGTGTAGTCACACGACACACCTAAGTCTAGGCGTTCTCGCTTTAAATCGACCACTAATTGTGATATCAAACGATTCAAAGTCTAGTTTAAGTCTCATGTAATGACAAAACCGTGGGCAAAATAAACTCGTATGAATACAGAACAACGCAATCGAACCACAGGGCTCTAGCTGCAGAAAGATGCAAATGACCCCTAACATACATTTACACCACATATTCAACATCAAAAACAACCCTAGAAAATAGATCACACAATCCATTACGGGACCCCACCCACACTATGACCTGTCTTAGCATCTCCGCTCATTCCCGTAACAATAAGGAAGTTAGCTTTCCATACAGAAGGGGATTTTGTTAACAACAAGCTTTGATATACTTTTCTCCAACGGAAGCAGTGATAAGTGATACAGCTGTTGGTTATAACAGTAAGACGCATTAGGACCTGATGAAGATGAACACAAAATGACCTCCCGTTTCCCTTTTCTCCATCCACGTGCGCACACATAAATAAAATCGTTACTGAAATGATCATATTTCAGGTTGTTGGATACTCACAGAGAAGCTAAGCAGATACATTGAAATCATTAATATCGATTAGCTGTGGAAATATGGAGCTGTGCAAACAGTGAGTCGTACTGAATTGAAAGAACCCATTCACCCAATAAACAATACCTTGGGATTGTAAAGCAGTAAAAAACAGGCTTCGGTATAAAAGTTGAGCTGTATTATGATATGCAAACCAACTCCCTGTCATGCATTAAAAAAAAAAAAAAAAGAAAGGGAAGAAAGAACAACTCTCCACTTCAGTTTGAAGTTCATCTTTCAATGCATCCGGTTTAAAACCATTCACACATGCAGTTCACAGACTCTCTCCTATCCTTCAGATTTGCTCGTGTCTTAGTGAACGGTTTCCCATCGCTTCTCGCGCTAAGGACTAACGGTGGGCAAACAGTCAAAGGAAGATAGATCAGAGCATGTGCAAAATCCCTGCTTGGAACATCAAAATCATTTCCATGTAAACTGATAGAGAGTCCTCTAAACTGTCTACTTAAGCGTACTGTAAATACACATAGTGTATATGCACTGCGTAGAACGTACAGGCTGCTTGGATTAAAAGGGTTAGAGCTTTATCTAGCACGCTGCTCGAAAGATTCGAAATTAGAAAAATTAAGACAAACCAGAACTCCTAGGTTTAAGCCTCTGATAAGAAAAGTAAGCCATCAATAAGAAGTTAAAAACCGGACCCCTTTGAACGGGAGAGGAAAAGCTCCTAGACTCTGTATCGTCGCTGATGGTGTCTTTCGAGGAAATTTAGAAAAGAATACCAAATCGCTGTATGGTACCAATCTCTGACAGGACCTGCCAGTGTAAAACCTGTAAACACCACTGCTACTCCCAAAAGTCTCAAAATAGCACACTGGTTTTGGAGGGAACACAACCGACTATGTTGTCTATACCATAGAAACGGGGATGGGCGAGAGATTTGAGTGGGTTTCGGGGAGGCAGCCTATGTTATTCCTCACAATAAGAAGGGGTTGGTCGTGCCGCCGGCTTGTGTTGCTGCGACTGTGGGCGGCAGCCCTCCGCTCATGAGCGGCTGGGGCATGGACATGGATGCTGGGATCCCCATGGCTGGCATCATCTGGCCCACAGGCCCAAGAGGAGCCATGCCGGTCATGGGTACCATGGAGACGGGGCCGGCTGGGGGCAATGAGGAGAGAGGCAAGGGCTCGTTGCTCCTCTGGGCGATGTTGTTGAAGCCCTGCCCACTCAGGCCCATCATGGGACTGACTCTCATCTGGTTGAGGGTGGGCGGCTGCGGCTGGTTCACCTGGAAGGGGTTGACTTGAGCTCCAGTTGCAGGCGGCGGAGCCGAAGCTGCTCCTGAGGCTAAACCTAAACCAGTGAGAGATACAGGAGAGCTCGTTGCTAAACAAGAGCTTTTAAAATCCAAATTCAAGGCTGAAGAACTGCACAAATAAAATGTCTATTTAGAACAAACCGATGCGGTCTCAAAATAAATCGTGCGTATCAAAAACTTTTACTTCTTGAAACAGGCTTCTCAACAAGGCCTTTATACTTCTTTATGCTTTATAATAGAAAACAGGTAGTTTTTAAAGTCATGTTTTATCCAATATGTAATGAATTTGGTTTATGTACCAATATATCAATACAAACTTAAAAGAATATTAGAGGTTGAGCATTATTAGATATATTAATTAATATCTATTATAAAAAGAAAATATATACATATGCATAAAGTGGAAAATTAAAAAATAAATGTGTAACTAGAAATAAGAGTTAAAAACCAGGACTCTTATTTTGAAATATAAACACACAGTATCACGATTACTGATAATACATTTAAAACATGTAATTGGTGAAGTGTACCTCCAGCAAGGAAGGGGTTGGAGACTGGAGCCGGCTGGAGAGGTTTGCTGACCAGAGAGTCTAGGTTGACAAGAGCGGCATTGGGACCCAGGAAAGACTCTGGAGTTTTTCTGGTTGGGCCGCTCGGCAAGTCGAACAGATCAGAGCCTACAGACAAGCTGGTCTGCGACGGCAAGGCAGAGCTTCCTCGACCATCACCTGCAAAAAATATCACATCCTCATGTCATTCCCAACAAGAGACAACCCTTCTTTTAACTAGTAAACTGTAGTAGTGGTCAGCATTTACCTGTCAGTGCTGAGGAACGAAGACTATCAAACTCAGAGAGGTCCTCCCTGGAAGTACCATTTTGTGCGGAAAAAAGATCAAAGCTACCGACTGAGGAAAATGAGAGGTGGTTGGGATTAAAAATTTAAAAAAGAAAGCCTTTAACTTATAATATGCAAGAAATTTATTAATTCAAAATAAGAGAGTGGCCTTATTTCCTAATCTGTGACAGAAATATATTTTGAACTTATAGCTCACCTGTGGCAGGAGCTTTGGGCCGGGTGGCAGGCATTGGGCCCCAGGGATCGGCAGCTGCAGGAGCTGGGGTCGACCCCCAGGGGTCACTGCTCTTCAGAGGAGTGACTGAGGAAGAGGCACCGGGAAGACCCCAGGGATCCACCGGAGCAGCTGGCTTAGGGGTGGCACCTGGAAGATGCACACAGATGTGTTAGGTATCTGACAACTTAACTAAAAACTACAATGAAAAATCACTGTCACCATCTTAGTCGGACACTCTTTTCACAATAAATTAATTTTGAAAAACCTGAAACTTCCAAGTCGCAATGTAACTGAAGTAGCGTCAGTTGTTTTCTTCCATATTTGTTTATTATTTATAGACCATTTTGCAAGATGTAAACAACACTGGTCCAGAAACACTTCCTGTTTCAGTTTGTAACTGTTTTCTTTATTTCACATGTAAAGAAAACATCTTAAAGATGTTGATTTAACTTTTTGATTCATATTTATATGTTCTGTTGGTTGTATTTTATCCCAGCTTTTATGTAGTGTTAAAAAACTGAAACAGGAAGTGCTTCTGGACCAGTGTTTACATCTTTCAAAATGGTCTATATCCAAATTAGCTACTCCATTAAGCAGTAGCTATTCTTCCTGGGGTCTTAATTTAAAAAAAATATATATTAACATCAAAGCTGCACAACAATGAAGACAAATACAGAAGTGCACACAACATCATTTAAGTCATCTAACTCACACACACAGCACAACACAAATACACTAAACATAACATAATGTAAGCTCTCCTATGTACAAAATATTACCACTTTCTGGGTATAAAATAAAATATGAAAATCACATTTCAAATACCATAGCTCATTATCCAGTCATTATTAATTACATAATTACAGTTACTCCAAAGTAAAGAAATACAGTCTCAACATTGTGACTCTCTGAGACCAAAAATATCAGGAGCAAGTTCCATGCCACCATTGCTCTATAACACGATGTTCTTTGAAGTTGATTTGTTTGACAGGCAGGTAACAAGAAACGCCCATCACTTGACTGACGAGTGGAATAGGTATGAAGTGAACGTCACTAAAGAAGGTCAAGCTTCTATAAATAATTTCAGGTGCTTTTGTAATAATTCTATTTAAGAATTTAATAAGAGAATAATTAATCCTGCTTCTTACATGAAGCCATGCTAACTGATTGTGCATGTCCCTGATATTTCAGGTTAGAACAAGTTTAGAACAAGCTGAGAGCTTTATTTAGTGCAATCTGTAATCGGTTTAAGTTATTCTCTGTAGTTGAAGTCCAAATGATGGAACAAAAGTCCAGGTGACACAAAACTATAGATCAGTATGAATTATCTGCAATGGCGAACTGCAGCCATACTCCTGCACATTTTATTCAATGTTGATTTTATCTTAGCGTTCCAGGTCAACCTGCTGTCCAAATCACGCCGAGCAATTTGTTCAATTATCAAACCACCAACTGACAAATTCAAAGCAGAGGAATCTTTTAAAAGATGATTAGATCCCAAAATCCTACATTTACTCTTTACAACATTAATCATTAACTTGTAGTTCATTATTTAATAGAGTATTAAGTCTGGTAGAATCATAATCAGACACAAAAATAGTCAAGTCATTTGCATATAGGGGATTAGTGGCACACCTCAAAATAAAAGACAGATCATTAATAAGAATAGAAAATAGCTGTGGATCAAGGCAACTCCCTTGAGGCACCCCACAATGCAGAACCTTTGTATCAGAGTAACTACCATAGGTAAAAACCTCCAAAGCTAAATTGTGATGTAGATCTGAGTGAAACGGTTTGTGGAAAAAAAATAAATAAAATAAATATAAGTAGGGCAGGTACTTCTTATCAATCACTTACTGATTAGTTTGATCTAAACGCAAGCTTGTAGTTGATTGTAAGATAGTGACTGGGTTTAAGCAGAATTAATGATTGTAGAAGTTACCAGTGATAAGTCATTTCACTGGAAGGTCAAGCAGACATTTTGATTTAAAAAAAAAAAAACATTTTAAAATTAAATTAAGTTACAAATAAATAAATAAAAATGCAGCAATAACTTTCACAATAAGATGCATTTAGAAAATAAATAAGGTGAATTTCCATTTTATGCTGTGTGGTCATTTTCAGACAAATTCTACTTTACAAATGGGTGTGAAAGGTGACGCAAGTTAAATGGGAGTGATGGTGACCCAATTATGAAATATGCAGTGGGAGTTTTAGGGTTTCGTCTTCCAGAAGACATGCACACCTGCATCAGACCTTCTCTCCATCTGCTTCATGACTTTAGTCAGGCTTAATTTAGACAGAAGATTTGCAAGAGATTAAGAGAACTGGGCTGTTCGAAGATGAACCCCTTCACAGACTCTGTGCTCACTCTACCAGTGCAGATCTGAATACTGAGTCTCTTTTGTTTTGAGAACACTGGAATGCACAACTACCGGCCTAGCTACATTACTGAGCTGCCACGAAGAGCTACAGGCACAAACAACATTATGAAATAGACCCTGTGTGTGTGTATGGGGGGGAATGGGGCCCTAAAAGACGAGGGAGCTTTCTGTTAACAGGTGGTCTTCACATCCTGACCATGGAGGGTTATTTCTTTTATATGTGACAAAATTAGATGTAAATCTGCCTTATGTCTGTTATGCAAATGATTCTGATGAGAAAGTTGGGTGATATATTCTCCTCATATCTCATTTATAGATATCAACTGCACCAAATTGGTTTAAAACTGTGATTCCGATGTTAAGCAAATAATTGAACTGTAAAATATAGAACTAAATGGTGAAAAACAGGAAGGATAATATAAGAATTCGACAAAAGTCAAACAAAAGTGCAATATAATCATCATGATATTTACATATATTGTCAAGCCCTAGTTTGTGCGTGTGTCTGTAATTACCGTAGGACTGCCAGGGGTCTGAGGCGGGGCCTGCGGCTGCACCACCTGCTCCCCAAGGGTCCGCAGCTTGATCGGCAGGGCCCTTGAGAACCGGGTCAATCAGATCCATCAGAGAAGACTGTGGAGGCTGAACACACAGTGTAAGTAAGAGATAAGTGCCCACAGTTACATCCTACTGCTCAAAACAATCACACCAGCTATGGTCAATGTGAACTTGGTAGCCAATCGGAGGATAAATACTCACATTGAGTAAACAAGTCCGCAAGGAAAGAAAGGGAAAATTATGTTAAGTGAAAAAATAAAAAAATTTCTAATGGCATTACTTAGCTAAAAGTAGTTTTGTGGTTTTAAAACATTAAAATCAGACCATAGAACTCATATATAAAACAAATATGAAGGCAAAAAATGTTATTAAAACAAATTCAGTATTTTAATTCAGCAAGGATGCATTAAATGTATCAATATACAAATTTATTTAGTTTCAACAAAAATATTGAGCAGCACGACGGTTTTCAACATTGATAATAATAACAGTGTCTATTGTATTTACACTAAGTGGAAATATCCCACCATGTTGGTAGAGGCTATTAACACTAACTCAACGACTACACTAACCAATGTCAAAAAGTACAAAAAACACCTGTGACTTGTCAGCCGCAGTGTCTTAGGGAGGAAGGCGCGTAGCAGATACTTTAAGCAATCGACCCGAGTTCAAATCTGCCTTTTGCCGAACTCGTTCCACTATATTTATTGAAAATAAATGCCTTTTCAATCTAAAATATGATGGGAAAAGGTAAAGAACATATGTAAAAAGTGGAATTAAAGCGCCTAACGGTTATTTAATAATAAAGTATTTGTCAGGTAGGGTTAAGAGTAGGTGTAGTGTGGGATTTATTGTCCCAATAAGGCAGCATTTATTGAATAAATTTATAATTTACACTCAATGTGTCATCATTATTGCATACTGTTTTATAATTAATTAAAATACTGAGGTGGAAATAGTATCCAACTATTTTACACATTGCAAGATACTGCCATTTTCACTAAGTGTGAATAGAACCTATAGCTATTTGCCCTTAGTGTAAATATCATGTATCGCTAAGAAAATATGCTATTTTCACGTAGTGTAAATAGCATCTATTGCAATATCTGTCTCAGTGCAAATAGCCGCTGCATAATAATGAATGTTTATTACGCAGCAAATCATCATATTAGATTGATTTCTGAAGGATCATGTGACACTAAAGACTGGAATAATGATGCTGAAAATTTTGCTTTGATAGCAGGAATAAATATTTTTTAAAAAAATATGCTCAAATAGAAAATTATTTTAGTATTTTTCATCAAATAAATGTTCATAAGAGACAAAATCTTCTGAACTCTAATGTACATTCATGTATTCAATTAATAAATTCTATCCTAAAATCAAACCAAATGATAACTGAAAAAAAGGGTATTTTCTTTTACTTCGCAGAATTTGTGCACTTTTCTCCACAAACTGGTCGGGAAAATACAAAAATTCTGCTCAACTAATATAGCACTATCAAATTAGGCCTTCTTGTTGGTTCTTTGAAATGTCCTGGCAAATGTAACCTTCCAAGTGACTTGCCAAATCACTACCATTTGTATTTATTAATAAAATATATTGGAAGCAAATTATTTATGGGTAAATAATAAATACTTTGCCTTAAAAGTACCAAAGTCACACACACAAAAAAAGATGCATCAATAATCGATTTAACATTGGAGCAGTCTGAATCGTAATCGAATTGTATCGTGAGGTGCCTAGAGATTCCCACCCCTAGTAGCCACAGATTCATTTCAGGCCTACTGATGAGTTTAAGCGCTCAGAGCCTGCAACCAACCTCTTTCTTCTTCTTGGCCACTTTCCCTCCGCTGGAGTCTTTACGGCTTTCTTCCAGAGCCATCTGGAGCCGTAGGTCATCCCCACGACGCATCCTCTCCTCCTGAACAACCACACACAGACACACACAATAATACGTTATAGCACACGAATTATGGAGCGCATGCCGTCTGCTGAATCACAGCGTGAACCTGCTGCCCTGTTGTTGTGATTCATCATGATTCAGCATCAAAAATCAGTTACACAAGCATGTAAAAAATTCAAAGATTATGCAATTACAGACTCAAAGCAAAACTCAATTGTGTTAGAAAACCAAGAGACACACCCGGTACTTTGTTTCCTCATCGGGTTGCTTTCAAAGGGCAGAGGAGACAGGAAGGAAGTGAGAAATGTAAAGTATGTTAGTGGGAAGCAACTGAAGATAGGCTGTAATCCACTCTTAGAAGGAAAGTTTCTATATAGAACCTTAAAAGGTTCTAAAGCGCTACATATTTGGAACCCCTAAAATGGACATTGATTACACAGTAGAAAGGTTATAGATGAGTGACGCTCTTTCAACATTTCAATAGAAGCCTCATTATATCAACGGTTAAAACGCTACGGTTCCCTTCACCTCGTAATGATCACAAATCTGGGACATCTGACTGTCTCATTCAATTATGTCCATTTATGAAATGACCCCTATTTGTAGTTTGCCTGACATGGAAGAAGCTCACAAAATAAATGACCCTTTATCGACACCCGACTAACTCTATGCTAAAAGGTACAGTGAGGTTTAAGCTGCAAGTAGTGCTACACAGAAATGAGACGAGCCCCTCCTCACCAGTTCCAACATGTCCGTTTTTCATTTGGAAATTTATCCCAGATGTCCAAACACACACAGAATTCCTTGAGCAGCTGATACGAGTCCCAAGCATAATCAGAGCTTCCAGGAAAATTGCATTTCCTAAACTATCAGCTGCCCCACTTCATCACTTTTATAAGACGTGCAAGATGTGGTTTTAAATACCAGCGAGACAATTGTGTGGTTGTATTGGCTTCCATACTAATTTGTATGTTTCCTAAACAATATCTTCTTGCTTGGACTGGCCCGAACTTGCAAAAAAAGTACAACTGACTGGGCGGATGTTTGTAACTTGCAACTGGGAAGAAAGAGCCAGTATAAGGTCATATTTCCCATTTCTTGATGACTTATCAGACTAAACAGACTTATCACCATTGCCTAATAATACAGTGACCTGGTTAGTGTATGTAAATGGTATAGATGCATGGGAGGTACAGTAACGTAAATATGTATCTGATAAGACCACATACAAATTATTATGTTGACAAATACTGGCCTAAACATTATAAAAATAACACTGCCAATTCAAACTCCTGTGTCACAAATACTTTGCCACATTTGATGCAGTAAATGACTATTTGATTATGTTCACAGTGTGGCGAGACCTTTGCTAATGGTGGACTATTATAGCCAGTCATTCTCTGAAATTGTGTGTTGCTTGTCTGGGTGGTGAAAATACGGTTTTAACTGTGTAGTGTTGTTCATAAATATTGGAGCAAATTAAAAATCAAGGAATGAAAATAACCAGAATCAATAACTGAAATGTCAAGCTCAAAATGTGGAGGAGTTCATGTGGATGCACAGTTTTATTCTAAAATCTATTTTCTAAATCGTTAAACTTTAAAAATGTATTCCGTGAATAGGCCTCACACCATGTCCAAAGCAGGTGCAGCTCAATAGAGTGCTTCAGGGATGATGTACTTTTGGAGGCCAAAAAATTGACACTCCTGGTCAATGGGCTATATGCACGCATAAGTTCCGCATTTGACGTAAGGATGCTCGTCCATTTCCGGTTGTGTAGATTAAAGCGGAGGAAAACCGGAGAAAACGGGATTATGGCAGAGTCTTCAATATTTACTGTCCTCCCGTCTTTGAAACGAAACGTACATACGTTTAGATGTAATTTTATATATAGTTATGTTTATTTAATATAATTTTAAAAAGAAGCATAAACACAACGAGGGGTGTCTGTTTTATCTGTTTTTGTGACTAACGTTTCATTAGTATAACCATGGAGTATAAAATTCAATATAAATTCTCTGTATTGCATTGGACTCTATGATCGGCGGAAGTTATCGAGCATCCCTAATGCTTCACCGGAAATAACGCCGTGCATAGAGCCCATTGGGTTTTTTGAATAGGTTTTTGGTTAAATGTCTGAAATAGGGTCAGTGGTTAACACATTTTATTCTATGACATAAAACGCAATAGTAATACCCCAATTGTGATTTCACTAAAGTTTTTAGCTTGAAAAAGGCAGTTGTGAAGAAGTGGCTAAACAGGACTACTATGGTCAGGGACATTACAAACAGGTAGAGTCATCTACTCACTAGACCACTTTTGTATATAATTGTGCTCTTATAAAAATACTTAACTAATTGAACAAGAACTTAACTAGCCGAACAAGTAATAGAAGGCTTTTCAATCAACAAAAGCCAAACAGTTCAGTGTCTTTTGGACCTTGAACCGTTTGGTTCCCACTGAAGTGCATTATATGGAGAAAAATGCTGGAAAGTTTTCATCAAAAACCTTCATTTCTTTTCGACTGAAGAAAGAAAGACATGGACATCTTGGAGTAAATTATCAGCAAAAGTTTTTGAAAAGTGAACTACTCCTTTAATACAAAACAATAGTGATTTTGAGATTAAATTAAACAGTGCTACCAAATCAGGTAGTGGCTACAGCTCTGAAATGTCAGTCTGGAGCCCTGTAATGTGATGTACTGCACCTGCTCGGCAGCCTCTCGACTCATGGCAAGAGCCAATTGCAACTGTAGCTCCTCTTCTCCACTCGTCTGAGGCCTGGCTTGCTCCAACTCTGAAGATGCATTCGGAGATGTGGCTGAAACAAACAAAATACACATACAATCTCATTATCATTCAAGAAATGCCCTGCTACCACACCTGCCTGGGTCCATGAGAAAGTTGTCAGGCCAGAATAAAGAAGCCAAACTTCCATCTGCATGCTGGGCAAGTCACAACAGCCTGCATATTATAAGCTTGTTGCTAAAGCAGTGGACGAGAGTACTTCCTCCTATACTGATTGGATTAGGGCAAGCCATGTGCTTATGAAACAAGCATCTGAGAAGCACATGAAGCAGTCACAGGCCATTGAAGAGCCAAACACCTTAAAGTACAGGTCAGAAGGCTACAATTAACCCTACATTCAAAGCAAAAACAACTGCTCAAACTATAAAGCACATTGCACATATGACAAAAAGTGCTCTGCATTTGTGTTAAAGTGATACTCCACTTTTTATGGAAATAGGCTTATTTTACAACTCCCTCAGAGTTAAACAGTTCAGTTTTACCGGTTTCGAATCCATTCAGCCGTTTTTCTGATATTTAGAAGGATATCAGTAACCAGACAGTTTCTGGTCTCATTGACTTCCATAGTAGGAAAAAATATATACTATGGAAGTCAATGAGACCAGAAACTGTCTGGTTACTGATATTCTTCTAATTATCAGAAAATCGTCTGAATGGATTCGAAAATGGTAAAACTCAACTGTTTAACTCTGAGGGAGTTGTAAAATGAGCCTATTTCCCAAAAAAGTGGAGTATCCCTTTAAGGCTCTGATGTTTTAAGTCTCCATCGGTCTTGTTGCAAGCAGTATCAATCAATAGACTGCTCGTTTGTGATCCATAAGATCTTTGACAGCCATTAGGCCTAGTCTTGATGTATTGCTTCAGTAACGATCAGAAAAACTGGAGCTGGAGATTGTCAGTGCCTCAGCCTTTAGAAACACAAGCTTCCCGGTTTCAAACCCTCGAGGGAATGGAAATTACGACCAAAGGGCTTGAGATTCTGTGGGAAAAGCAATGAGGGCGAATAAGGGAAATGAGCGTGGTGTTTTGGTGAGATCACAGATGACATCACAAGTGCTTCCAGTTCTTACCACACCAACCTTGTTGGGCTAAAGTGGAAACATGACTCATTACGCAAACTGCGTGGTTCAATCTCAATTTCCTAGAATCATAACTTAAGCAACAATAATTATTTTTCATTCATAGACTGACTGAGAAAGATGTTTGGTTATTGGCATACAGCGTCTACTTTTTTCTTTTTTTTTAGACTATTCTGACCAATAACCACTCATTTAAACAGTAAGAGGCTGACTGACTGACATGTAAATCACCCAATCAGATTAGTTTTGTGCAACCAGACAGTCAGTTACCAGACTGACAGTGTCTGGGTGGACAGGATTGGCTCACCATTTCACTCATATCTATGGCTCTGTTCATCAGATCTGACATTAAAGCTATGTACAACCAAATTGCAGTTGTTCTTATTTGAAACACAGCTGGATGTTTAACTGATACTAGTACTATGTTTTTATTAAAATAATAATAATAATAAAAGACATTTCAAAATGTGGCCAATATTCTGATAAAAGGCAATAAATGTTGTCAAAATGTATGACAGATTCATTTAATCATTTTACAGATTAATGTAAGTACAAAAAAAGAAACAATGTTTTTGGAGTTTGAAGACACGAGCAAAGATTGGCTGCATTATGCTATTGTTGGCTGCCGTAAATTATCCAGAATCTATTTAAAACAAGATCAAAACCTTTGCTAAAGGACACAGCAAATTAAGCCATCCACTGCTCCGCAACCAATCTTGGGACTAAAGAAATATAGTAATGGTGAGGGCACAGTTTTGCAGCTCTAAATACTTTCCCTTGGTTTGCACCTGTGAATATCTCACCAATAGGGGAATGACGATACATCGTTATATTTAAAATATCGCGATATAAAAATATGACGATATGTATTGATGTAAACGATATGATTCGCTATATAGTGTTGTTTGATCCAAGGCTATAAAATTCACCAAATTTTATAGCCTTGGATGAAACTAGGAAAAAAATAAATTTTAAGTCTAATCCTCTAAAACTTAAAAGATCCACAAAAATAAAAAAAATCTCAAAGGCATTATAAAATGATCAATCGAGTGGTCTAATCCAAATCCAAGTCTTCTAATGAGACATGATGCATTATATGACGAACAGATTTACAGCGACGTGCATACTGTAGTAAACACGGATGTTCAAAAATGTTCTGCGAAAAGAAAACATGAAAGGGAGTAATGCAGAATTTACATTTTGACATCTGAAAATGACTTCATGTGAATAGGTTTCTAATTTAGAAACTAGAGAGGATTTTCTAAAGGTTTTCCGTCAGCGGTTTTATAAGCAGTAGTCACATTACATAACTTGACTAAAACAGTAATAACACTTGTTAACAGCATGCAAGTTATTTTTTTTTTCCACAAAGATTTAATAATAGATTTTATATATAAATGACCATAATTACAATTTCCGATTATTTAACAGATCGCCATCATATGCAAATCATATGCATTTAGCCTTTATGTTTATTTAAATGGTCCAGTGGTATAACAAATTAATAAACAAACATTAAAGTAGTCTTTCGGTTTATATGAAAACTTCATGGACAATGCCGTTTAAACTACATTTTTTATATGACACTGCAGGACTATCACAACTTTTAAGAAGATTGTAAAACTGCAAAAGGATTTTGTGAGAACCACCAAGACACAATAACTGTATTTTCGTTTTATATTAACATTTTTAGGGTAATATTTTGGAAAGTGCACTCCAATTAAGCACTCCCAACATATTCGGATAGTCTTTCTATCCTTATTAGGCTATTCATTTTTGATAGGTTATTTTGTTCAGGATCACATGCCAATGTTGAAATTGTGCTTCTGATAGAAATTGCTAAAAACAATACAAATTTTATTGTCAAAATATTATTTGCTGTCCAGACAAATCACAAAAATACATGCTAAAAATATTGTCTTTATCTTTGTCATTGTATGCTAGGGTTGGGCTATATATAGCACGATATTGTTATGTGCATCTAATCAGTGAAGCCGGTTCCTTGATTAGTAGTACATCACCTTCACCTGCTTTCAGATGGACGATATGAGTGTTAAATTAACACTCAAGAGTGTTAAAGTTAATGATATAATAAAGTGATTAATTTAGTGATGATTGAGCATTATTGAAGTCACCTGATGATAACAAGCAGAATCGCTGAAGGACAAAATCACAAATTGTAAGTCACCGTTATGGAGATCAGTGTTTGCTTTAGTTGGGCTCTTGACACTTATACTTTCACTTTAAATTTTGTTTGTCCTCTGTTATTGATTTATAGCAGTCAAATGAGCCCAACTAAAGCAAACACTCATCTCCATAACGGTGGCTTAAAATTTTAGATTTTTTTCTTGCGATTCTGCTTTAGGTGTCTTCAATAATGCTCAATCATCACTCATTTAATCACTTAATTATCTCATTAACTTTAACACTCTTGAGTGTGGACTTATATACACTCCCAGGTGTGTTAGTTTAACACGGGAGATTTTGTCGTGAGGAAGAGCCGTAGTTAACTGACCAGCTGAGCCATATCGCATTAAATATCGCTGGCGATACGTCCTCGATATTAACTCGATATGGCTCAGCTTGTCAGTGAACTACGGCTCTTTGTAGTAAATGCCGCTCCATCTGAAAGCAGGTGAAGGTGATTTACTGCTAATCAAGGAACCGGCTTTACTGATTAGATGCGCATAACAATATCGTGCGATATATCGCCCAGCCCTATTGTATGCATTTAATTTCACGCATCAAGCAGTCATATTTGAGCTTCTTGGTCTCCATTTATGTACACTGATCAATGTTTATCTATTGATCATAGGAAGTGACCGTGTCACTTTTTGAAAATTAGGCTTAACCGTTCTATTCATAATGATTACATTTACACTGTCTTTTTCTACTTTCTAAATGCTAGAAAATCATATCAAAAAGCTTCTGTCGTACAACACTGAATTAATTTAACATTTTCCCAAAAGCACCCATGTTCTGATTTTCTTCAGTCTGTTGAAGTGCGAATTAGATTAACCAAGAGCCCAATTACACTTTCTAGAAAAACAATACAAGGAAACAGCACTGGAATGCAAAACACTTCTGCCAACAGATCAGCTTTTCTTCTAATTTTCCCTTTTTTAATGAGTCAGCTGTTTACAGACTCTTTGTGCTATGAAGCTCACTCTTTATTTTTCAACTACATTCTGCTTAATCCAACACACTTAAATGCAACTGAAGACAAAGGACACACAATGAGAAGGTCATAAAAATGTACCATATGTTTTGATTTCTAACTTTACACCATGTGGGTCATTAAAATACACTGGCTGACTACTCTCAAGAAGATTATCAAATCCTGTATAAAAAGGGGTTGGGGTAGTAAGGAAAAAGGGAGAGAGACAGCTTCCTTGCTGAAGCACAGGGCAGAGCAAAAGACCTCTGGGAATTGAGGAATTCTGTCTTCCTGTAACAAGCTCAGGGAAAGGGGTGGGATATGAACAGCAAGCAGCTGTCCAGGGCAGACGTACAGCCACTCAGTGCTGCAGGGAGGCACAACAGAGGATGTATCTCCTGCAGTGTAACAGCCGACTAGCAGTTTCCTGGTCTGCAGTGTAAAGAATTTGCCCCATGTGGTCAAAGCTCCAGGTGTGCACAGTTTCTCAAAATGAATTCAACAAAGTTGACTCCTTTACAAAAGCACCAGCTCAGATTTAGTTGTTGCCATTAACAGCAACATCTCAGACAAAGGGAAAAGATCAGCAGGATGCCAACCTATTACTGTAAGTAAAGGGCTTAATAGGTCCTCAAGAATAATGCATCCTGTAGCATTTAAAAAAGCTTTAGTTCCACAGTTACAGCAATTTTAAAACCCTGCTTTACCAAAAAAACAAAAAAAAAAACCTCTTGATCCTGAAACTGGTCAAAATACAATCTGGTAAACTTTGACACTAAAACTATTTTGTGGTGCATTGTTTAAATACACTACAGAAACATACAAGGTTCTTCAACACTAGAACGGCCACAACGGTCATTTTGACCGTTTTGAATTTTATATCTACAATAACTTTGTTGAAAAAAAATGATAAAATCCTGCTGGTACCTGACTTTTCCTAAAATTGTCTGTATTTTCATTTAAAATGCTTTTCATATAAATTAAGTTGCGTAAACGTAAGGCAAAAAAAAAGAAGAACATATTTACCTATTTCGCTTGGCATATCGTCACTATCTAACATTTTCGTCATAGTTTTTGTCATTCAAACCTAGTTTTTATTTAGTTATCGTCTCGTTTTCGACTTTGAAAAAATGTGGTTGACGAAAATAATTACGAAAATTATTCGTCAACTAAATAAACACTGTTTTGAATCTAATGGTCAAAATGACCGTTTGTGGCCGTTCTAGTAGTTTTGGAATTCTGGCACTTCTAGTGTTAAAATAGCTATGACTAAGTCCACATGAAATCTGAGCATGCAGATTAGAGCAGAAAAATACATTTCCAAAAAATGAAAAATGCCCATCGTTTAAGTCCTATTCATCTTATGTCGCAACGCGGAAGTAAGCTTTTTTTTACTGTGAACTTCTGATTCATTAGCCACTATAGTAAATAACTGGAAGTATAACAAAATGCAGTAAATAGTCAAATTGTTTGTGCTACAAACTAGTGTTTTTCTGATTATGATAATAAATTAGAATATATGATAAAAAACAGTCTGCAATATCAAGCAGCATAACAGACAGCTAAAATAACGAAGCGGATGAGACGGGAAGCCTCAAAAACTATCAAGTTACAATGGCGTAGCCCACTCTTACAAAGAATAAGATGAATACATGTTGTTGCAAGTGTCAAGAATTATTCATTGGCACTCGAGGACTCCAGATGGTTACTGTTTGTGCAGGTTGAATTTGACCCATCAAATGTTCTTTCAGCCAATAGCATTGGTCTGAGGTTCTAGAGGGACCTCAACAAGAACACTGAAGGTACGTCACAATTTGCGTATGTATGGAAGAATTCTAGTAATGTCTACAGTACAAACAGTACTTTACAAATAGTACAAATAGTACAAATAGAGTTGCAAGATTAATCGTTAAAAGATCATAATGTCGATCAAGGGATTTTTTTCCCCGAGGATATGCGTTTACATAGTAGTTTATGCGCATGTCTTATCGAATGGGTGAGAGAAAAAAATGTATCCGCCTCCAAGTGTATACATTTTTTATGCACTTTTTTAGAATCTATGCGCATCTTGGCGTTTTCATCCTGTCTTTTTATGCAACATCCCAAAATTTGCCTAAATCTATGTGGATGGAAACATGCCTAGTGACTCATTCATTCAAAAGATTAGTTCAAAAACACTGATTCATCCAGTAATTAAATATTCAAAAAGGTCTTCGGACTCATGAATCATTAATTCAAACGAAATAAAGAAATCTAAATTGAATAATTTTGTATACAGACTGCAGCATTAACATTGTCAGAAACTGTATTGTTTAGTTGTCTATTCCAGATTCATCCAGCTCTATAGTGTGAGCAGTGTTCTCACTGATAATGCACTTCAAATACTTGATGATGCAGTTATTTATGCATGCAAGAAAGTACATAGAGTGCAGTCAGTGCATGACTTGGGAAATAACATGGAATATTTATCGATTTTATTTTAATATTTGGCAAAATATCTGGCTTGATCAGATCAAACTGTTTACAGACCTTTTACCCCACAGCTAGCACCAAAAAATGTTTGGATTCCATGCCTGGTAAGTTAACAAACCAAAGCAACTTACATCCATGATATGACGCAGGTGAACCCTCAGACTTGCCGTACTCTTCAGAGTAACTGGTGGAGAGGTTGGGCTGGCTGGAGCCACGGCCGAAGCTGATCTGATTGTTGCTGCCCACACTGGTGGTGACCTGTGCCATGCGCTCCTTAGTCTTCAGGGCCTGAGAGCGCTCACCCTTCAGACGGTCATCATCCTTTAGTAGCACCACCAGCTGCTTGGACTTTTCTCTGACGTTGATGCCCTGGTCTTTGCCGTCCCGATCGATATACTGGAAATCTTTCAGCGTCTGTATGGCAAAGATGTTCTCTTTGCACTGCAGGGCCACTCGCTCAGAGCCCGTTTTGATTAGGTAGTCAAGCAGAGTCAGGGCCTTGTACACATGCCGCCAGTTCTTTCCATGGTCGTTCAGCCTCTTCCAAATCATGCTCATAATCTCTGAAAAGGCCACCACATTGTAAGTGAGGTCGGCGATCTCCGACATCAGAGAACTGGAGGGGCCCCATGGGTCATTGGAAGTCGCTTCCCTGACCTTCTTCTCTGGCTCTGAATAGTTATTAACCACATTTTTCATTTGTCTCCGAATAGTTGAGCTTGGCATTGTGGCGTGTAGTGTTAAAAATAACGGAAAATAAAAAAAATAAGTAGTCCTTTATGCAATTATTCGAACACGTTATCCGTTTGAAGAGTTTCTCTGTATTACTCTGTGCCTGTTAAAACCATTTCCACACAGAGAAGAAAGCCAGCTCGATGAATTCCTCCATTACCTGAAACACAAAACCAAAAATGTCAGACTAGAATAGAAAAGGTTCAAACGAGAACATAATAGTAGACTACTACATAAAATCTAGTGCGCATAAAAACAGTTCAGGCAATTATCAAAGAAATGAAAGTGATCATGTTGATTAGATTTTAACAAGCGTTACAACATACAGAAGTTTAATGGTCCATTCCTGAACTGTAGTTTGCTGCTCTTCCTGTTGATACCGCACTTCAGATAAAGAGAAATAAATCACAGCTGTTCCAAGTAGAAGTCTACCACCCAGGTATGTGTGGAGTAAAACGTAACTGTGTACACACAGAAGGGCGGCTTAACGTGTGAAGTGCTTCTATTACTCATCTTTACGGTAACACAACACTCACTTATGTGGGAAGACATCTTATTTCCTAAAAGTAATTGCACCATACTTTGCTCTCCATTACAGTACGGCATGTAAAACCACTCCATGTTCTGAGCTCAAACGCATCAGTCGTTTCTGCTAGCATCAAAGCTATTCTAAATATAAGTTTCCTGTCTTAAGCACACCGGGATGCTTCATTGCCAACAAAACATCTCAACCTATCCCATAAATTCATTAAAAGGCACTGAAATGTGACTCCTGCTCTCCCACGGAGGAGCCAATAGAGCGCTGCCTTGCAAGCAACCCCCACTGCCTCTCCCCCAGCTCGCATACACATGAATACAGCCACGGCCTAATGAAACATCTGCTGCTTTAATGACCAATTCAGACCCAGCACATCAGAGGAAGAGAGGGGCAACTGTATCACTACCGGAACAAAGCTCCAGTGGCTCTCACTGTGATGGGGGCCCAGGAAGCCAGTACACAGGCCCGGGTCTGTGTGCGGATCCAAAGCAAGTGGTGGCCTCCTCCATACTAAAAGAACAGGTCTGGCAATGTCCCGCCAATATCAAGGAGTCTCAGTGATCAGTGTTGAAGCAGAGCCAAAGACCCAGCAAAACAAGGTCTGTGAGCAGAACCGAGCATGTTTACATGGACACCAATCCATTAACTACCAAAAATCTGTTTATTGAAATAACCAGATTTACCAATTTACATGCAAAACAATAACCTGGCAATGCAAATACCCCACATTTTCTAGGTTATTCCCCCGGTGGTGGTCTAAACATAAGCATCCATGTATTTCACTCAAAGCATTCCATTTATTATGCCAGTTGATGTTAAAGGAGTAGTTCACTTTTTAAAAAAACTTTTGCTGATAATTTACTCACCCCCATGTCATTCTTTCTTCAGTCGAAAAGTAATTAAAGCTACACGGTGTGAATTTTACCCCCATCTAGCGGTGAAAAGGTATATGACCATCCAGTGAATATTAGTTTCTGTTTCTCTCAATTCCAATTTCGTTTTTAACTCCTACGGTGGCCAATGTAGTCCAAGATAAACATGGCTTCCAGTTCGACCTCGTCCATGAGTGTTACCTCAAACGTAAACGTGAAAGGCGAAGCTTGAATTAACGGGTGTGTCCCTCTTTGGCTAATGTACTTTCAAGATGGAGGGGCAACATGGCATTAGACATTAGAACCCCTTACCCGTATGTATTTCCAATGGCATATTATACACTCACGAGAATACTTTATTACTTGAACGAAGTAAATATACATTAATGAGCACATATATTTTTTGAAAGAACTAAGTGTTTTTGCTAAGAATAAACTAAAAGAGTTTAAAAGACACAGTGTAGCTTTAAGGTTTTTGATGAAAACATTCCAGGGTTTTTCTCTATATAATGGACTTGGACCTTGAACCGTTTGGTTCCCATTGAAAAGACAGCTTCAGTGCAAACTGTTCAAAGAGCTTTAAACAATTTCAGACGATGAATAAGGGTCTTATCAAGTGAAACGATCGCTCATTTAATAAATAAATAACAAAGTTTAAGTTTTATAAGCTCAAATGGACACCTTGCTCTGTTCGGTGAGGCGCGTTCGTGACTCTCCTCTTCGTACTCGTTCATCAAAATTAACAAATCTTTTCCTGAGTCAACTCGTTCATTTCGTTAGTTCGTTGAAAGAATCAAATGACACGAAAAAAGATTAGTTCATTTTGATAAACGAGTTCGAACAGGAGAGTCACAAACGCGCATCACAGAACAGAGCAAGGCGTCCATTTGAGCTTATAAAACATAGTTATTTTTTTTAATAAGCGATAGTTTCACTTGATAAGACCCTTATTCATCGTCTGAAATCGTTTAAAGCCCTTTGAACAGTTTGCGCTGAAACTGTCATATGGACCTTGAACTGTTTGGTTCCCATTGAAGTCCATTATATGGAGAAAAATCCTGGAATGTTTTCATCAAAAACCTTAATTTCTTTTCGACTGAAGAAAGAAAGACATGGACATCTTGGATGACATGGGGGTGAGTAAATTATCAGCAAAAGTTTTCTTAAAAGTGAATACTCCTTTAAAGGGTTAGTTCATCCAAAAATGAAAATTCTACCATCAATCACTCACCCTCATGTCTTTACAAACACAAAAGACCTTCATTCATCTTCAGAACAAGAATTAAGATATTTTTGATGAAATCCAAAGATTCTACTACAAATATACCACTTGTCCTGCAGCTTCACACGATGAAAACACATTTTTATATTTCTTAGGATAGTTTGGCTTGGCTGGATGCGCTGAAATCTCCCTTATATGAATGCTTTCCTGTCAAACATGCACACTTCAATAAGCTGCATGCCAGGCGAAATCAGGGGAATGGGCAAAAATCTATCTGGTTCGATTGGTTTATGGCCTTGCACTGATAAAGGAAAACGGTTTAAAACGGTTACATGACCACATACGATGTCGCCTTAAGCATAATCTGTTTAAGAACGTGCATGTAAATGCACTCAACATCCCTCTCTTTTCAACTAATGAATCAATACTTTAGGATACATGCATAAATGCTTTGAAAAATTTGAGACAAGAGTGCCAAAGAACCTGATCTGAATCTATATTCAGTTTTGCCAACACTCCTCTCACACACTACATGGAAATGGTGCTATGAACATATTTTGAGGAATCACAGCAGTGTTTGGTCAACACACCAGATCGCAACAGAGCTTCCTTATTCTGCGAACTGTTGAAAACTTCCTTGAAATGACCTTCAAAATTTGGTTGAACTAACAATAATATTTTCTTCTTAACAGAAATGTGAAGAACTACTTCTGCATACAAGCTAATTGAAAACCTTGCAGTTGCAGTCAACATTCTCCTCCAATTCTCAATAAATGTGGGCTAAAAACAAAGCTAATAATTTCAGTTCACTTTGAATATACAAGATCGCACGATGCGTTTTTAAAAGTTGAACTCAGTCAACATGCTCTGCAATGCTTTGTCATGTGCGAGACGCTGCAAAAGATGTGATGCGTGCATGACAGTCCAGGACATCCATCTAGCCTCTATCACTGGTTTACATAGGAAAACACTGGAAAAGTTGTAGAAACAAGGTCTATGTGAATGGCCTCTTCCGACTACATAAATCTAACACCATCAAAAAGAAAGTCCTTATTCTGAGAACTTAACTATCTCCTTGAAAAATATATTTTCCATTAATAGCAAAGTGAATGTAATTTTTCTAATTTCCAAGACGACATTAAATGGCTTGACAAGCAGAGTTTGTATTTCTGTGTTAATGTATTGCCTGTCGACACCTGAGGTTTGGGTGAGACAGGCTTTACTTTTAAACAGCCAATAGGCTTTAATTGTCATCAATGAGTCATGAATCACTACTTGCCATCTCTTTCCAGAGAGCACATCTAATTGGACAACAATCCACGTAGTAGCAGATACATCCATCCATCCATCCATCCACATACATATGCAATATCATTTTAATTTTAACAAGCTAAAATCACCAAAATCATGGTGACCTTGCTGCACTCAGCAGTTTCTGTGACCTAGTATTCCTTCATCGTTTGACATGCGCAGGCCATGCCGATCCATGACTGGCTGCATTACACCCATGCAGCGAATACAAATCCTGCATAAGAAACACCAAGAGCAAGTTTTGCACAGCTGTGAAGGACAGCGCAACCAGGTATGACTCAATTCAAACAAAAGATAGCGTGCATGGCAAGCGCCAGCATGTCTCGCCTCTTTAGGATCCATTGTGGAAGCGCTAAGGAAGGTGGCAAAGTGAATCCAGGAGCAAGAAAAAGCAGGTGTAAAGATGTTGCAATGCACACAAAACACTATTACATATAAACACTTAAATTGAAATGCACATATCTACAATTCCTCCCATAGTAGGCCTGCTGAAAAATGTATGGTGAATTTTACATAAGCCAGAGCTTGTGAGATTGGGCGCATGAGCACAGTATTCTGCTCTCGGCTAAACCAGCAGGTTCTGCCACTTCAAGTAAACCGTGTCCTATGATACTATAGAACGTCCTTGAAATTACACGTCATATATTATATGAAGAGTTCAGATGCAAAAGCCTCTAAATGCCATTTGAAATTTTCTTCTTGAATTATGATTTTTATCAAACTTGTATATTTAAGTTCAGTAATTTCACTTAAATAACAATTAATAGGTAATCATCATTGCCATTTAAGTGAGATCACTGAACTTAAATATACAAGTTTGATAAAAATCATCATTCAAGAAGAAAATTTCAAATGGCATTTAGAGGCTTTTGCATCTGAACTCTTCATATATTACCATATATATTGTTCGAGCTCTAAATCAGTTTTTTTTAAAGACATGCTAATTGGTAAACTCCACTTCAGTTGCTAAATAAACGTAGATGATCGGCTCCATCCTCAGTTGTCATCAAGAGACAATGTCTAATTACAGGAAGCAAAACACTAAAAGATGAGGATGCAGAAATTGATTATAGAAACAACAGACAATGATTCTCCTCAATCACGGGTGTGTCCACTAGGAGCTCAGAGGGGGAAACTGAGTGAAACGTCCATGTTGTGGGCATAAAAGGGTTCTGTCGGGTCACACTGTTCACAATCTTTGTAGTGTCGACTAAACAAACTGGTCAATCTACAAATCCGTCTTTACACAAACTTAAGCAAATCATTTGCGACAACACAGTAATCTCACATATACACATACAACAATACTGAATTAGAAACTGTAAATCTGAACAGAACAGACAGCTATTAGTTAACAAGAAAGGACTGTATAAACCCAAGTTAAGTCGTGGTAAAATATTTATATAAGATAACGTTACCACAGCTAAAGGAACTATACTTAGAGTAATTACTTACAGATATACTGAATAGACCAAGATTAGAGATGAATATAAAATGTGTTTACAATTCTATTGGAATGTATAACTATTATAGAAATAAAATCCCACGGATACTTGTTGCCAACAGTTTAACGTTAACCAAACAAGGCCGGTTACAAATGTTTGAAGTATCAAGCTATCTTTAGCACGTTAGCAAAACCGAACCCATAAAACGCCCTATTGTTGACCAAAATAAAAAAAATAAACCTTCGCTTAAATGTCTGTATGTGTTTAAAAAGATGTACAACCGCAACCTTAACGACTTCAGAATGTTTCCATTATTAACGTTTAATTGCTAACTAACGTTAGCAAGCTACAGAAACCACGACGAAAGTTTCTCAACTATGCGAACTTTTTAAAAACTAAACTATTTTATGCTGCTAATATAATGTTGTAAAAAATGTTGTAACACTTAGAACACCTGAATTGTAGCGTTTTGATGTTTTATTTTTTAGGATAACGACTTTTTAAAAGCTATTAAGTGATTTGAAGTATTAGCCGCTTAGGCTAGCTAACTGTGGCTATGCTTTGACTTACTTGCTACTTTAATCAAATGTCGCTCTAATTCCACTCACACCCCAAAGAATACCTAGCTTTATCATAGTCGTTCACTATCAGAAGTGAGTTTGTTTTTTAAAAAACTCCCGAATTAGTTAAACCTCAAGTCGAAGTGTGGTATTCGGTGGAGATATCGCCGCTCTGAGAGAATCGACTAGAAAACAAAAACAATAACTTACCAAACCTCCTGTGCTGATGATGACCGGGGGTAACACCCGGCATAAGTACAGACTACTCGTATGGGAGATAGAGAAACTTTATTTACTAAGAAACGACCGAGGTGAGCGTTAGTATTGGTGTGTTGGGCTTGTGTGTGTATGTGTGTATGTGTGTGACACCCACACCGTTCAACATGGCGCTCTGAGTCTGATTGCACATTCATCCTCCTCAGGAGGGGCGAGACAAGCCAAAGGGTGTGACCAAACTCACTGGGTTTCATTCTTAAAACGGTTTATTTCCCAAATATCACCGCCGCGAGCCTCTTCGCGGCCATGAAAGCCCACCAAGACTCGCATTATACGGTGTTAAGCTAAAATTAGTGCATAGGTTTCGTCATCGTGAGACTTATTCCCGAAACTGATAAAATCGGTGGAATGTGGCCCCCAAGTGGGCTGATATTAGATAAGTCCGACTGTGGCCGTGATGGACTTATTCAATGAAATACATTTTCTCATTATGTTTAAAGTAACTGTGTCTCAGAAGAAGATTTACAAAGTATAAATGAATAATAACATTATTTGTATAGCCTAATATTAGTATAATACAATACCATTCCCCTTTTTTGTACAAAATGTAGGCTTCAATATTTTCCACCTGAATGGCACAGTAGGCTAATGGTTAATAATATAAAGCCATAACAAATACATTTTTGGATTTCCAACCATCTTTCCTCTGTATTTTATTTTCTGACAGTAATGTCTACCAAGATACTAGTCTTACTACTAGGCCTACTGAAGTTACTATTCTATAGTGACTTTATTCTTTGATAGTATTGACATGAGTTGACCAGTAAGTGGCAGTATGGTAAAGATTTTCCTCCTCGTGCACAGAAACAGACGTGTTTAATACAAAAAAGTAAGACAAGTCTGTGCCTATATATTATTGGCACAGTTTTACCTCCAGATATTAAATCTCAGTATTATAATCTCATTAATTATAGAATATGGTAAATGTTTAGTAAATCTAAAAGTGAACAGACCCTCCTCTACGACCATATCAGAGACGTGTGGTTGAGCCTTGTGGCTCTTTTCATGCCTGCATTTATTTTTGCACACACACTGCATGTGACATCATACCGAGAAAAAAAACAGTAGTTTCCATGTAGCAATGTCAAAAATTTTCCCATTCTGCATAGCTTTCTTCACATGGCAACAAAGTTTTTGGTTATAATTGACAATACTGGTTGGACAGACACACAACAATCTTCATTTGTGTGACAATCTTCACAAGTCATGCAGGGTTGTAACAGCATGTAACACAATTTTCATTTTGGAGTGAGCTATCCCTTTAAATGTTTTATATTTTCTTTTGTTTAGAAGAATGTTTCACTCCAGTCTATTGGTGACAACAAGGAGTACAGTGCATGACTTCTTTTAAATGAGGATCATTTAAAATTTTCAGTTATTAATTATACACCTGAGTCAAATGAGCAATCAACTGTAAAATGGTGCAATGGTGGTCTCTGTCACAGAGATGAGGGTGTTTGTGGTTTCCTTGTTTCATGCTCAGGAAGCCCTGTTTTTCTCTCCCTCATATGATTGTTTATATTGATGAGTAAGTTTCTCTGGAATTGTTTTAATATAATTACATTTTAAATAGTATATGGCTTTCATATACATATTGTTCAACCCATGTTTGGGTCAACAAACAAACCAGCAATTTTAGACTGTATAAATAGATATAGAGGTTTCCGGGAATTAACTTTCTCACACATAAGCATCTTAAACTGCTATCCACCTTCACACCAAGCAGTTTCTCACAAGCACTTACATCTGAGTGCAGGTGACATTCACACACTGTCTTTTGTGGTGCAAAATGTTTCCAGTATGATGTAAAAGTTAAGTCACAGAAAATGTTGTTGAGTTGATTTCCTAATTTAAGTGTATACCTTCTTTCTTAAAGGCTAAACTCTTGCCCAGCAGGGTGTTCATAACATCAGCCTAAACAGCAATGATAGACTTAAATTTGGTTATCTAGTGTGTGCCATCTTAATTATTGGATAAGTCAATAAAAAAAATAATTTGAATGACACTTTAGATGTGTGTGAGAAAAAATGTGAGTGATCTATGCCTCACTGGTTACACTTTACAATAAGGTCCCATTAGTTGATGTTACTTAATGATTTAATATCATTAACTGCAATGAGCGTTATTGTTACACTTTATTTGTTAATGTGTAATTATGTATTTTCGTACTATTAATTACCATGTACGTAGTATAGGGTTAGAAATATGGAAATTAGTTGCATTAATTAATTGTTATTCATATAATAAGACCATCTAACATTTATGTTAATGTTAGTACATTGTTCATTGTGCATCTTATAAATGACAGCTTGCTTTTATTCTTTCTAAAATGGATATCAATGTGATATTAAAGTATATGTCAACATGCTGATAACAGATATGGAAGCTATGAGTAAAAAAAATATAAATATGCAAAAATAACTGATGAGATTAAAAGAAAAGACAACTTTATGTGAGAAATAAGCCAAAATGGGACATCCATGTGCATTTCAGGATTAAACAGCACCACCAATAGAGGAACATGAGAGGTATACTGTGAGTCATGCAGCTCTATGGGGACGTTTGCTCATCTCAAAACACACGTTCTTTGAATCATATACTCTTGTCAGATGAGCTCCTCGTCTGGTATAATTCATCTCCAGCTATTTCCAGACATGGGAGTAGTAATATGCAAGCCTAACACAGATTAACCAGATACATTTACAAACTACAGATCTGCTCATAAAACAGCAGTCTATGATATGTTTTTCTTTACATGTAATACGCAGGTCCGGCTCTCTGATGAGGGGAAGTTTTCGAGAGGCCATTCTTTTTGTCGTCCTCCCATCATTTTTTTAACTTTCCTGTTTCTCACATAGCTGTATTTCCTTCTATTAGAGCACACTGAGACAGGAACTGCCACCCCTGCCTCCCTCCCACATGCTTTTTTCTGTCTTGCTCTCTTTTAGTCCCACACACTTTCTCATGTTCTCTCGGTTCATTTATCAGGGTGCAGTGTTTGACAGTAATCGTGTCTCTGGACAGTCTGTTTCAGTGTGGATGCTCTCTGGCTCAATCCTTTCCTCCGGTCAGTATTTTGTGGCTGCGGTGGGACGTCTACTTATATTGATCTTTTTGGGTTCACCTCCAGCTCAGGGGACTCAGGATGGAAGCAATAGCTATTTACAACTTTTGTGCTACGGAAAGTGATGAGCTTAGCTTTCAGAAGGGAGATGTACTCAAGGTATGAACCGTTTTGAGTTGGATTATACACAGAGCTTTTGTTTGCTACAAATGATTTGATCTGGTCAAAACTTACGGGCTGTTCTTCCACTAGATCACTAATAAGGAAGATGATCCTAACTGGTACACAGCAGAGTTGGTTAACAGGAAGGGCTACGTACCTAAAAACTATATTAGCATCAGGCCACACACGTAAGTACAATTTTAAGTCGGTAAATCTTGGAAAATATTGTCTGGATCTGTGTTGCTATTGGTATTCACTTCTTATTATTCACTAAGCTAGAATGGTCCTGGGAATAAAAGCATATGTGTGATGTCTTTAATCTTATTTGATTTACCTACACTTTAAAAAATAAGCCTTAATTTTTACAGTAAAAAACAGCAGCTTGGGTTGCCAGAACTTTACCGTTAAAGATATGGTTGCAACGTTATTGGTTTGCAACGTATTGGTATGGTTGCAACGTATTAGACTTAACTTACAATTTACAGTAATAAACCGTATTTCATTATCTGATATAAGCTGCACAGTGATTCGCACAAACATTAAAAACCATCATGGTAACACACATGAAATAAAAAAATGCAATATTTAACAACATTAAATGTATCATAAAACCCTAATGTACAAAAAAAAAAAAAAAATTATGAGGAACCATAGTTATTTCAACAAAAATTGAGGAAATTGTGGGAATGTCAATTTACGGTTTCTCACTGTAAAGTATACAATGAGTTGTTCTTTTTCACTTTCAAAAACTGTAAATTTAACGGTATTTTACAGTAAAATTACATTAAATGTACCATGAGATCTATCAAAGTTATTTATAGTACGGAAACTTTCTGTTAACTGATTAACAGTTTTGCACAGCATCTTTTACTATTAAAATTATGATTATTTTTTACAGTGCAGGGAATGTGGGAATGTCAAATTACGATTTTTCACCTTAAATTACACAAGTTGTTCTTTTTCACTTTCAAAAACTGTCAATTTAACGGTATTTTACAGTAAAATTACATTAAATGTACCATCAGATCTATCACAGTTATTTACAATATAAAGAAACTTTCTGTTAACCAATTAACGTTTTTTTTCACTGTAGAATTTTACAGAGTCTTTTGCCGTTAAAATCACAATCATTTTTTACAACAATGAGATTAAACTCGATTAAAATCAAATTCTTAATTTATAGCTCTACAGTGTCAGTTTATACCGTATACACCGTAAATCTCCATCCTAAATCTCCTATTAGGACATGTGTTTCCCACAAACACATATCAAGCAACAAAAACTTTTCAACACTGATAATAATAACCATTACTAATAACTGAGCACCAAAGCAGCATATTAGAATGCTTTCTTTAGGATCATGTGACAGTAAACAGCCAGACACATGTGGCCTGTCTATAGCTGTTGACTGCATCACTAATAGTGCTGTTGTTCCCCTCTATCTCGCCCACAGATGGTTTGCTGGCCGTATCTCGAGAAATGTAGCCGAGAATCGACTGCGCCATGAGAAACAGGGAAGCTTCTTAGTAAGAGAAAGTGAGAGTGCACCTGGAGAATTCTCTATGTCAGTGAGGTAAGACGCATCCCAACCTGCATAACCAAGTCTGCTCTATACGCTGTTCCTGGGGGTCGCAATTTGTTGTTTGCTGCACCGCTCGTAAAAGTATAACTAGAATTTGAATAAGAAGATAGATTGTAGGGGCCATCAAAACTCATCTGACCTACTTTGCAAAGGATGCCAATATCCCCTTCTGCTTAAGAAAATGTATCATGACGTTGTCTGAAAATGAGAGCATCAGAAAGCTATTTATGTCGGAGCAGAGATTTCATTTAAAATTCATCAAACGCGCTGGGATCACATTATTATTCTGCTCGACTTGTTACCA